TATATTATGGAAATGATTTTAATTTTTTATTATCATTGTGTTATTTTTATTTGTGTAATGCTTCTTGTGCATATTTTAATTCAGCTGCCAAAAAATGGTATGTTTTTTATTCCTCTTTTTGGGGAGGCAGGAGAATGAGAAAACGTTGAAAGAAATGCGCAAATGAATATATTTATGATACATATGTATGTATGTATGTAATGTATTATGTTAACTTTCAACTTCTTTCTCCCTAATTTGGACACAAGTGCGGTTTTAGTTGTTGGCTATAACGGTGTCGTTGGTATCGATTGCTGTCTTTATTGGTGTCAGCTGCCATGATGTAATATTTGTACTTACATACATACATACCTACATATGAATGTTGAATTAATTGAATTATGACCGGAATCTCGTTTCGTATGTAAATCAATATAAACTGTATTTTATTTTTTGGAATTTTTGGATTACGTAGACATGTAACGGTATTCGGTAATAGATTAATTACTAGTGCAATAAAAATTCAACAGGGAGTGTTTGTGGTTCATTTGTGTGAGCATGAAAATAAATTAGTGTTGTCACCTTCATACATACATACGTGTCATTTATGTACAGGCTTGTTGGGAAATGGCAAGAAAAACTGACTAATTGTATGCAAATTGCAAGGGACAAACTAGTTTTGCCTAAGATAAACTAGTTCTACCTACTTGTTATAGAATAAACTGGTATAGCCTAGGACAAACTCGTCTGACCTACATAAGCCCGACAGGAGAAACCAGTTAAGACTAGACTGAACTAATTGATCCTAGTATGAATATTTACACTTCCGAGCGCTTGAAAAAAAAACAACCCTCATCAGTCCAACTCCGGCTACGTAGTCCACAGTACTGTTAGGCCCAAATTGTTTCCGCGTTCAGTCTAGACCTAACTGGTCTTGCTCATAGGGCTTTTAAGCTCGGCGGCTGAGGCAAGATTTGTCACCCGTTATACGGTACCGAAAGGAAAGGCTAACGTATTGGCACTGCTTGAAGAATTCGAACACAAGACAATAAACAGTCCATTCGAAGTAATCAAGAGGGGTAACTGAAAGGAATATCTGGTCGCGTACGAGCTCTCTTACTTCTAATTTTATTTTCATGAGGTCAAGAAAATAGATCATTAAGTTAATAGCCACGATTGCTGGTCACTGACCTTGGCTATTTCACGAAGATAGGAGAGGTGCTTAGGACATATAGAGCCAAGAGAAGAGCACATACACTCCCTCTCCCGGGATCTATTCTAAAATTCATAGAGTCTCTGGGGCTGCATTCGGTATTGTGATAAGCTGAGGGCACAATAGACCTACTGGTTGCAGTGATAACCCTACTCATATCTTTCTATCTATATAGGTTGCGCAATCACAGGTCCAGCGAGCGGTTAGTAGCCTTCCTGAAAGCTAATCAAGATCAAAACACTGGAGGTGTTGTTGTCAATACGCCACGGTTTCACGGCCTGCTAACGAGTCTCATCAATAACGAGAGCATTTTTAAGAGGTCATTAGACTGCCCTCGGCCTATTCGAGGTTAGAAGAACTCGGCCGCTTTGCATTCTACGGTTATCGGCCAGGGATAACTCTTAAAGAAACGTTTGCCTTACTATCTCATCGGTCATGCAATTCACTGCGACATACCTACAAACATAGCTGTGCTCAATAACCCGTAGCAAGGTACCCTAAAATACCATCTTACAAACTATAGAGATATGTCTTTTTTGGACTTTACTCTCTGACAAAAGTATGACTTTTTGTAGATTAAGATTAGCCTAATCAACACAGCGTGGCTTTCTTGGGGCTATTAACTCAGCTTGAAACACACTACACTGATTTCATCGAGGGAATATGTGTGGTAAACATCTTTTTTAACTTTTCCCTACATCGTGGATTTCTGTAAGGGCATCCACTAGGCTGAGGCAACGTAGAACATGATTCCCGCTTATAATTCCTAATTATTTTGTTGACATATTGCAGCACTTTGACCAGAGATAGTTGAGCCTTGAGTGTTTTCAGATCTCGTCAAGGATCTACTTTTAACTGCTCACTACGTAGGGTGGGGAAAGGGCGACACTAACAGAAGGGGATAGTCCTTACTAGAGGACTTATTAAGTGAAGATCTGTGTGGGACATAGTCCAATATTTATCAACAGAGTGAGGCAGAAAATCCTTGACCTGACTCTCAACAACAGTATGGGTAACAATCTGATCGAACAATGGAGGTGTCCACGGAGCCTTCCATGTCCGGCCAAAGAATTATCGAATTCTCACGCAATGTAGAGAGACATCATTCTTGGAATTCTTGTTGGGAGCGGAGGTCGAGGAAAACTCTACGATGAGGAACGCCAGGAATGCAGTCTTAGATAATATAAAGAACTATTAGTTATCATCCTACCTGGTTTATGGAGCGAACATAAAAGAGATAGCTGTAACATAAGGTTAACAAGCTAACGGACATAGTGCAACGGGCTTTAATTATAGCTGCATTGAGACCAAGCCAAAAGGGACTGCCAAAACCGCGCGGTGGTCATAGGAGTTCAGGAAAGAAGTGCCCAAACTTTTCAACAAAGCAAAGCGCGTGCGATGCTGGGATGAATACGCAGCATAGCTAACGAACTACAGCTAGGAGATCATGAAGGTGAAACGAGATAGTTACAGAACCCTCTGTGAAGGTATCTCGAATACCCAAGCAGCCGCAAGGCTACACAAGGTTCTAGCCAGAAGAATGGTGGAAATGCTGTGACCTACACTGTAAGCAAAGAGGAGGAGGCAACTACTCTGCTTATGGCACACTTCCCGGAGGCCACTAGGTTAAAAAAAGCGAAGTGAAGTATCTAGGATCAACCCTGGACATCAAACTACTATGGAAGAAACATAAAAAAGCTACTACCACCAAGGTCACGTAAGCCTTAATGGCTTGCAAGTGTCTGTCAGCAAATTGCTAAGAATTTATCCCCAAGATCCTGAAATGGCTATACACCATGATAGTACAGCCAATAACAACCTATTGAACGGCGGCTTACCACGGTGATATCACAGTGAAACAATCGCTCACTAAGCTACAACGAATGGCATGTGTATGCCTAACAAGAGCGATGTGCACGTGTCCGTCGGCGGCGCTGGAAGTGGTCCTTGAACTTGAGTCGCTCTACATAGCCAAATAGCAGATTGCCAAAAGAACTCTGCTCAGCTTGTGTAGAGAGGGATTTTGGAAGGGTAAGGTCATATCCTCATATGTCGGCCGCTGTGGTGTTGTGGTAAGCAGTGCGCGCTTTCACTCCTCAGCAATTGGGTTCAGGCCCCTGCCAAAGCAACATCGCAAAAAATAAATATTGAAAACAGGTTTTCTCTTAACAGTGGTCGTCCCTCGTCAGGCAATGGCAAACCTCCGAGTGTATTTCTGCCATGAAAAACAGCTTGTCATAAAAATACAATCGCCGTTCGGAGTCGACGTATAAACTGTAGGTCCCTCTGCTCTGGTCAAGGCGCACGGCACAAGTCGGAGGAGAAGCTCGGCCAAACACTAACATAAGTATGTGTAAGCGCCAATCTATTATTATTATTATGATTAAGGTCATATCCTCTAGGAACATGGCGAAGTTAGGGTCCTCTCTCCCGCTACATCTGTTTCCGAGAGATGACTTAAGTAGAATTATAGGTTTTGAAAAGAGGCTTGAAATAGAGCAGTAAAAAAACCTGGAGCATTTCCGCCTTGGAAAGACTCCTTCAGAATAGCACCATGTATTGGTATGCAGACGGATCGAAGACCTCAGAGGGATAAGGTTCCGGAATCTTTGGACCAAGGACCAGGATCTCGGTTAGTATAGGGAAATATCTGATCATATTTGAAGCGGAAGTTCACGCCATCTATTTATGTGCGGAGATTTTCATAAATAGATGGTACCGTAATAAGAGAATTATATTTCTAAGTGACAATCAAATCAAATCATGTTTGGTCCTTCATGGCTATACTCAACTCCCTCGTTCCCTCTACAGTCGGAACAACGTAACCGGAACGGCCCAGATTTATATCTTGAGAAGGACTGTCATTCCAGCAACACTCCCCAAAACCCTTTAGGGAATTCGCGGCAGCCATCACTCCAGTTGGCCCCGAGCGCTTCCTCGGAGCAGGTCCCAATACTATAAAGGAGCAGCTTAGCAGAGCGAAGAACAATATGAGGGATTCAGGAAAACAGTCTACTGGGAGAATATAACAAGAGGACATTCCAAAGTTTAATTAACCTCCTAAAGGAGAAGCTGCAGACTAATAGAATATCTATGGGCCTAAGTGTGCTGGCGCCCTCTGGGCCTGGCCTAACCTAACCTAACCGCCACGAATAATGTTGTTTGCTGCATAATTCATGCTACATATCATGGTGCGTATAATTTGTTAGCGTATGTTTTAACATACATACATATATACGACCGCTACCACTTTCTATTAATTCGCCTTCGAAGCAACACAATACCTAAAGGCTCTGCGCTGACGTACATACAAATATACACATTTCTATAATTTGTAAAATTTTTTCGCATTGGCCTCTTTATGCCACTATAGAAATTTCCCTTGCAAATTACACCAAATTAAATTGGCTGGCGGCGCCATCTGTCGTTTTAATCGGCAATGCATGCCCAGCCTAGCATCTACAACAACCCAGAGTAACGAAAACGGAGAAGCCGATAACTACACTAATTGCAACTCTGATTATGCATAGGAATGCATCGGAGAAATATCGACGCTAAATGAAACATCGATATATCGATGGAACAAGGACAAGTTTTAACTAATTTTAAAAGAATATTTAACACCATTCAATCCCAACCAGCTTCCTTTGCAAATAAGCATACATATGGACAGATTTCCCTTATTTAGTTAATCTTCCTATGATACATCGTCAATTAAGCGATGTTAGAAAATCGTAAACATCGTTAGCAAATATCGAACTTTGATATTATCGATGCTTCGAAAACATCGATGCATCGTTTGCCTCCCTAATTTTGCATTTATTATTCTTCGAGTTCCATCGCAGCCGCACCACAAAATATGGCCGCACGTTAATTACAATTTAAGTAAATTGCGATAATTTAAGCAAACCAATAATAAAAGCAAATAAAACAGCAAATATTAGGTTGTGTGTTCAAAATATATAAGATCGAGTTTAACAATTAAATTTAAGTGTAACTATAGTTTATAATTAAATCCAAGCAAAGAGCCTAGACGGCAAAGTAAAAGAGAATGGTGAAAAGTTCATCGTAGATGCACAAAAGAACTGTAAATCCAAGGTAAAAAGGGCAAAATTCGTCTTGCGAAAAGAAAGTGCAAATTCAAAATCAATAAAAGTGCAAAATCAATGGAAAAAGTGCGTGAAGTTTGTGAAAAATATAGAATAGTGCATACAGAAAAAAGACAAGTAGGAGAATCTTCGTTCCTACTTCAGCGCTAACAAGAAAAAGTCTGCCGACTACAGAAGCTACAACTACACAGCACCAACAGGATTGCGAAACACAAACTTACACACGTATACTGTGTCCAATAAACTCAGGAGTAACGACGGCAATTATACAGCCCTTCATAGAGCTGTACCAGCTGGTAAGTTGTGCCTAGACACAAATAATACATACATCTGTACATGTAAATACAAATGAGACTACGGCTACCTTATGCCGTTTATATTGTTTTTGTTTGCGGCTTTGATGACGCAGACATCGTCCAGTAGTCAGCTGGGTTCTGGTGATGATAGGAAATGCAAAGCATTTAGGGGAAACAACAGGGACTGATAAAAGTATTAAATCTTATTATAGATAATTAATATCAAATTGAAGTAGAATCTATGCATAAACTCGCTGACAGAATCGGCCCACAATATCTAATTCTTTGAAAACGTCCCACTTTGATATAATCGCCCCCCAAATCTAATTCTTTGAAAACGATCCAAAAATTAATGAGTGGGAAGCTATCCTATATGGAGGACGGTTGAAGAGGAGCGCGCGATGAGCAGAGGAGCGCGGCACCTCAAACCCCGCCCCCTTTTTAGGGAGGGTATCAACCGTTATAACAACAAAAACAACAAGCCGTGTGTAAGCGCCAATCTATTATATTATTATTATTATTATAAAAAAATGCTACCCCCGACCTCTGAAATCATATGTGTTCCTAGGGAGCCCTTAGAAAAAGTTTCAAAAATAACATTTTTAGTTACATTTTCGCTTATATTAAGGCTGCATTTCTTTATTTATTCTGAACGTTTGGAATAATTATTTTTGTTTACTTATTCTTTAGAACGTTCCTGATGACATGTTAACGTAATATTTCAAACGCATTCTATTTATTCTGGCTGTGAAATGGCATTATCTGGAATGTATAAAGAAACGCAGCCTAAGTAAATTAAGAATTCACTACTACGCTCAGTATTATATTTCGGAAAAAAGAAAAAAATCAAATATCTCGAGGACGAGAAGAGCTCGATGCTCTTTGCTTGCCGCTCCACTATGTTTTAGCCTTAGAAGTTGAAGGCAGAGAACCCCTCTAACAATAGTCAGCCATCATGTGTGCGTTCCAGTTGCCTTAATAGCGTTCTCCGTGGTGAAAGCTGCATATAACTCGTAAACAATAGCTGCTGGAAAACAAATGAGGCTATATATTTTTGGAATGAGCGACTCAAATTAGTAAAAATCATGTCATAATTCATTTACAAATTCAAAAAGTGCAATTTTGCTGGCGAGTTTTATTTATATTATACGTCATCATCTATTGCTATTTTGCGGACGGGATTACAAAATTTGTTATATTTGAAAGACTTCCTCTAAAATTTTTTCGAAAAAATATTAAGATTTACGTGAGCTAGACCGATTTGAAAACACATCCAAAAATTAAATTTTATATGAATACAATTTTTTCTTAAAGCATTTTTTGCAAAAATCGCCTCAGATGGCAAAACTGTTTAAGCTTAAAAAATCAGCATAAAAAGATAAAAAAATGTTTTAGTTTTGATGCTGTTTTTTAAATATTTTCAAAGATTGGTTTAAGGAAAACTTGAATAACTGGGCCAAAACTATACGATTTACACTTACGTATGAAGTATCAATAGAAACGTATTATCTCACCCTTTTTATTTCTTGCAGAAATACTAATTCACGTCACGTTTTGTTTATAAACATACATACATACATACATGTGAATCAACAAATCTTAATTCAACTTGGAATTGCGTTGTTGTTGTTGTTGTAGCGGCTACCACAACTCCACCCAGATCGGTCAATATCTCAGTCGATGTAGTCAAGTTCCACTTACGGCAGCCCCAAAAAGCTTGCAGTCTCAGTAGGGTCGGTCTTCAGGGACTTTGGCGTTAGGGTGGTCGGGTTTTCCGTGCATACGAAGAGATGTTTCGAGTCATGGGGTATGTCTCCGCATGCCGGACACTCATTTGGTACATCTGCGTTTAGTCTGCTCAGGTATGAGTTTAACCTGCTGCAGTAGCCAGAGCGAAGTTGGGCTATTGCGGTTCTAGACTCTCGAGGCAGATGAAGCTCCGTCTCGTCAATGTTCGGTGGTTGCGCGCCTAGAACGGCATTCACAGGCCTGGAGTCTACATAACTCGAGACTGACTCTCTGTGAATGCCGTTCAGGTCCTGTCGATAAGCTGGCGGGTCCAGTGGTTGTTTACTGAACCTCTGAACTTCGTCCGTCGGTTCGTAGAGATGCCTCCTGACGTTGCTGGGCTCTTCTGCAAGCCTATTTGGGGGACCACGTCTATGGCTCCCAACAAGAAACTGCTGAAATAAATAAAAATGACAGGAAAAATTTGTCCGTTATTCAATACAAATTTCTCCCTCCATTTTAGAGGGAGTGAACGGGTGGTCAAGGATACCCTTATAATATGTAAAAGTTGATATTGCAAAACAATGTATCCGCCAAAATATTATTAAAAAATATCTATGGCGATTTCATAATGAAGCAATCAAGCACACACACGTTTACGTGTAAGCGTGGAGGTGATTCCACCTCATCTTCCCGTTGACAGCTGATACAAAAGGGATAAGTTGTAATTCCTAGTCTTACTGCGTGAGTACCAATCGCACAATGGCCTGTCAGAACCCCCATCACTAGCCCTAATTCCTATTACTTTTTAGTCAATATACTACTCGCAATTAATTTTTCAGATGTTATTAAGTAGTTGCGAGATTAAGAGTTTCTATATAAAATTAAAGCCGACCCCGCGACGACCGCTAACCAATTGGACTGACTGACGGCAGGCTATTTCACTACATCACAAAGATGACATAATATAAAAATTTCAGCTTTTATAAAATGCTTACAACCTATGCCTATCTTGGCTTAAATCTTGTTTCATGAATTACTTTGGGCTAGAGACCTCACCTCATTTCGATAGCTCCCCTGCAGCAGTACAAGGCAACGCCTTTTTTAACCTTTCCCAAGGACCAAGCCTAAGTACTTGACCCTGTCTGAGGCCGACCAAAAATATTGATGGACCATCCGAGTTCTTATGCAATGCAAATTTCATGTTTTCAAAAAAAAAAAAATAAAAAATTTGTCCGAAATGGAAGATGGCAGAAATTTTCATGTTTTATAACAGTCGAAGAATGGACTCCATTTGATCAAGCATAAACCGATTGGACTAAAGCAAATCCGATGAAATACTGTTTCCAAAGTGTGAGGGGTAAGCCTTCTAAAATAAAAGAACACCTTTTTTTAACATTTTGCTGCCGGCAAAGCGACGCAAATAACTTTTTTGTGGATATCAAATTAATGTAAAGAAACTGTAAATATTAAAATGCATACATTCAATGACCTCTGCTGCTCGCTATCAGGTGAGTTGCCGTTGTGGCCTACTAAGAAACTTGTATGTATGTGTGTAGAAGAATGAAAATTGAAATGTTTGTATATTTTGGCGATTATAAGAAATTTATTGACACAAGGAATTATCAACAAAACGTCGTTGCATCACTTGGTCGCCTCACAATAGCTTAAGTAAAATTAGGTATTCAATATTGGTTGTTCGTTGTCTGCAGCCCATTGCACCCTTTGCGACAGAGCCCTTAACCCGTTGCACTTACACATAGATTCGGGTGGTGAAAAAGAAACTGCAGCTGCAACTTTATCCAATTATAACTCGTACAAGTAGCAAAATAAATATCAGAAAGCAAGAAATGCAACTGCATGCATTTATTCGCAATATAAATTACATATAAGGATTCATATACTATACACATGTATGTAAATAGATGCATATGCGAGCGTCAGAAAAATGCAATTACAGTTTCTTGCTTGGGGTAGTTTATGCACTTTTTTTTTTAGTTTTATTTCATAGAAATCTGCAGCAAGGATGCGTCTGACAACGGTAGCTTCACGCAAGAAGTTATAAACTTTGACAATAACAACAAACATGAATTGAAAGTAGCAAAACAGCAACTATGCATACAAAATACTAGTAACAATAACAACAATGAATGCACTTTTAGAACAATGCATGTGTTGAAAGCTGACATTCGCCGTTTGCCAATGCGAATGCATACATACGTACTTATTTTTGCGCGCATTTATTATATCCTTTAAGGACAAAAAAAAAAAAACAAATTTGCATAATTTGAATTATTGCTGTGTAATTCGTGTACTCCGATTCTTATATAGCTTGCGCTTGCTTGGAAAATTGCAATATTTAATTTTGCTTTTTCTTATTTTAACTACTCGTTTCAGTTAGTCCTTTGCATAGACAAACAGACAGACAGACGCGCGGTGAAATTAAAATTTCCATTTTATTCAATTTCACCTCAGTTACGTGAACCAAAATGCAGCATCATGCACATGTTGCACGCACAGCTCCGCCGCATATGCGCGGCCATCACATGGCAGTGCCGCCGCCGCACTCGCAGACTCAGTCGCACATGCCGCCTTTGAATATGACACATGTACCACCGCCGCCAACTGGACAACAGCAACAGCAACAGCCACTGCAAAGCAGCCAGCAGCAAAATCAGCCCCAGCATCTTACCAATGGTCCAGCGCCGAGCAGCGGTGGCGGCAGCGCTGCAGTCATCACCGGATCGAAAATTGGCGCGCCATCGCATATTCGCGATCATCATACGCGGTAAGCTACATATGTTCTGAATTTAATATAGTTTAAATACTTTTTTTTGTCAGGTTTTCAATTAACATTCCCTTGCCGGTACTTTCTAACATACCCCGCGCCGCGCCGCGCTATCGTAATTATGTAAATGTCTCTGTCTGCAAGCGCAAAGCAAGCAATCGGGCGCACTGTCGCTTTATGTGATTTCCTTTGGCCTTTTGCATTTTCTCAACTAATAAATTATAATTTCATTCTTTACTTTAGCTGCCTTGCGGTGTTTTTTTTTTTTGGTTTTGCTCTATGCAACAGAGTGTAGTCACCTTTGCAAATAGCTGTCGGTGTGGCGGCCTAGCCAAATGATGGGTAAGCGAGGCAGCCAAGCCGCCTAGCTTCCTTTATTCACAGCATGACTTCCGTTCAGGCGTAACGAGTTATCTTTCTGTTATCCTACCCTGTTTTCTGTAAGTATGCGTGCACTCTTCCTGCTTGTGTGTGCTTCTCAATGTACATATGTATGTAGTATTCAGTATATTCTATGTGCTTGTCACTTCCCCGCAAAAATCGTTGGACCATGTGGTATATTTGTGGTATATTGGAGTACTTACAAAAGTGCTCCTCTGTCATGCTGTAGCGGACCAACTCGTGTCTCTGCACCAGCTTAATGTTACCCGATCACTGCTTGTGTTTTAACAAAATGTGATTGAAGTTGAGCATTTGAAAGCACTGTGGCTGTAGCTAAACGTGTAGAGATGCTTGCTCTTATTTGTTAGCTGCCAGCAGGTTCGGGTTCGAATGCCGTCAGAGGCAGTATGCCATTTTTTATTTTTATTTTTGTTTTTGGTTTTTATTAACTGCGAAAAACCATCTGTGAAGTGAAGAACAAAAGCGTGTACAAACGAAAAAAATATATCAACAATGCCGTTGTTTGTTAATATGTTGGAGTAGTTTGTGCTACACTGTTGTAATGCAGAGTTGGAGTATATGGTCCTGCACTAGGACATCGCAATGTTAATTGGACCACATTTTATATATGAATTGTGGGTAATTTTGGAGTACTCCTTGACCCTTAAAGAGTACTCCCTTACATGCATGCATGCAGTAGTCGCGATTTTTGCAGTGTTACCGCGCATGCCATTTTCCCACTTCAAATTGAAGTAGTGGTGGCGTTTGCAGTTACCCAATTTACCAAACATCTTCGAATTGAATTCTATTCTACTCGTTTTGGTGAACAATTTGTACGCCCCGGTGAACTTTTCAG